TTTTCTCACAGTTGTTACATTCATTGAATTATCATACACGCATCAACATCACTTTTGTAAGCATAAGTTCTAAATCAAAAGCCAAGTTAAGGTTGCAGGTCTATAACGTGTAGTCACAGCTTTTGTAAATCTTAGCTTTCCCATTTTCAAATTGTTGTTGATCATAGTGTTGTTGTATCATTTAAGTAAGAATAATTGTTTGATTATTTTGAGAGATGAATATATAGAGCAGCTATAAATTTTGATTAGATTAGAGATTTGCATGATATTTGTTTAGTTGAAACATGACTATTGAATATGTGGCCTTAGTAATGCTCAATATTGACAGTTTTCACTAAAATTCTTTAGGTGTAGTTTAAAGGTGATTCTCAAAGAGAAATGCATTGCTTAAGACATTATTTGGAACTTACAGTGAACGAGACAGACAAAGCATTACAAATGGAGTTGAGGTCTTTGCAGTGTCATTAATGAGTCAAGTGATCATATGCATAAGCTGTAACCAGTCTAATTCTCATCTCCCTCATCAAAAATTTTCAAAATAGCAATCACACACTTACCTCCAAGAGGGTGGAACGGATTATACAATATTAATAGACGATACGAATTCAAAACCAATATTAAGGTAAAATTACTTGGATCTTTAACCCTTTCCTATGGTAATTATTCTCTAGATCAATTTTGGAATGGCAATGAGTACTATGATTAGATGTGTCTTTTGATCAAATACTGGGATTCATGAGTTTGATTAATGAAGAAAGATTATTAATTTTGTGGTTTCCAAAAATATGTAAGTAGAAACAAGGTCATTTATTGTACTCAAATACAAGAATCCCTATGATTGAATGACACAGATCAGAAATAAGCCTAGGAGACATACTAATAACTGTCTCTGCATCTGAATAAATGAACTGTTAGTAATTAGAATTCATTAACCACATAGGCTAATGGATGGAATAACACAATTTTACTGCTGTTTTAAAGTTTTTGGTCCTCATTTATTCAAATGGCTCTACTAAGGACAACACTGATGGAGTACTTTGACCTTTTGTACATCACTTCTTTCCAAGGTGAAATTTCACTTGTTCTCTTTCTCATTAAGGTTCTGCTTGAAAATGATTCATGCTTGGCCGGCGCTGCAGGTCACTAGGCTAATCCTCCGCCTGCGGCTCCGGCACCCCAGGTTCTAGTCCCAGTTGGAGCACCGGATTTTGTCTCAGTTGCTCCTCTTCCAGTCCAGCTCTCTGCTGTGGCCCGGGAAGGCAGTGGAGGATGGCCCAAGTGCTTGGGCCCTGCACCCACATGGGAGACCAGGAGGAAGCACCTGGCTCCTGGCTTCGGATTGGCACAGTGCGCTGGCCGCTGCATGCCAGCAGGTAAGGCCACTTGGGGGGTGAACCAACGAAAAAAAGAAGACCTTTCTCTCTGTCTCTGTCTCTCTCTCTCTCACTGTCTAACTCTGCCTGTCAAAAAAAATTTTTTTTAAATGATTCACACTTATAATTGAAGGTGAAGAAACCTGGGCATTCATTTAGATGATTATTAAGAAAATTTTTTTCAGTCTGAAAAAAATGATACACAACCTTATTGTCCCCTCACCATTGGCTGAGAGTGAGATGTGATTCCCAGAAGTAGGATTTGTTTTCCTGGTGATGATAGAATTACTATCAGGATTAGCCTTCCACTAACTGAGCTGACTTCACTTCATTGGCAAGACATTTTAAATGTCCTCATGACATTCACATGCAGGTACTGTAGTTATCTAAAGCATAAAGGATGAACTGACTTTGAAATTGATTTACTCACATGTCCATATTTATATTAACAGATGGAATAAAATTTTCTAAGAATACTGATTTAAATGTAACTGACTCTTGCTTATGTTTGAATCTTTTTCCTTTAAAGGAAATGTGTAAGATTATATAAATATCTATTTCATTAATATCCTTTCTGTTGTTTTTGCATCTGTAGATTTTCTAGCTAATACATAGGAATCAAAATGATAACTACTGGTAATTAGAAAGTCCACATTCCATGATTTCCACTAAATTTAATACTCTGTTCCTGCCTTGTGTTGCGTGGGTTTTTTGGGTACTGATAGCTTCTAAGCAGTAAATTGAAATATGTTTGTTTCATGGGTAACATGGAAACAACATTTTCACTATGTTGTGTACTCTATATTATATATGGTCTGAAATATTTAGGGAAGCAATATTTGTCATGATAAATAAAATGATAAGCTGTCATTGGATCATTTACAGAAATTTTCTTTAGCTAAAATTATAACTGTTGTTATCATATCATATCAAAATTATAACTCTTGTTATCCTAACTATGATAACTGTTGTTATCATAATAGTGGAGCAAGTTTGCCTAACACAGAAAGTTGGAAAAAATGGAGCTTTTTAATGTGAAAGAGATAATAACAAAGGGAATAAATGATGTTGTGGCCTAAGCATACTGTAAACAGTTAAACCAGTTTTGATAGTCACATACATTACTTTCTTTCATTAGATGTAAGTAAAATTTGAAACAATTGAGGATTAAAGTTCTTTCCTTTTCCCCTCTACCCAAACCTGTTGTCAAGTGAGAGCAATTCTAGGATTAGACTTTAACACACAAACACACATTAGCAAATAGGCATAAAGTCAAGTAGCTTATATTTTGAAAACACTCAGTTGTGTGACTTCATCCTGTGCAAAGAACCTTGAATGGAAGGTTTATTAGAGAGTATTGTGACATTATCCTAGAGTAACACTTCTGTTTGTATTGTTTTTCTGGGCAAGTGACATAATCTTATTGATTAAAAGTTGGGCTAGGCTGGCGCCACAGCTCACTAGGCTAATGCTCCGCCTGTGCTGCCAGTACTCTGGGTTCTGTCCCAGTTGCTCCTCTTCCAGTCCAGCTCTCTGCTATGGCCCCAGAAGGCAGTGGAAGATGGCCCAAGTGCTTTGGCCCTGCACCTGCATGGGAGACCAGGAGGAAGCACCTGGCTCCTGGCTTAGGATGCACACAGTACGCTGCCCTTAGAGGCCATTTGGGGAGTGAACCAACAGAAGGAAGACCTTTCTCTCTGTCTCTCTCTCACTAACTCTGCTTGTCAAATAAATAACAAAAATGAAAAAAAAAAGAAAGAAAATAAAGATCATTCACTTTGCTGATTTAAAAAAAAAAAAGATGAACTGTCAATTACATTTTGGAGTTGTCACATTTTTGGAATTGCGTTGATTAATATAAGGCAACTGGAGCTTGGAGACCCATCAATGAAGGAGGCGCTAGACCAGCGATGCAATTGGTGACTTCTCTGCATCTGACACAGAGGAGCTGCTGGTCTGCACTTACCTAGGCTCACAGCTGCTGACTGGCAGAGTTGGAAGGGTGCAGGTGGGGACTCCTTGCATTCTGGTGTCCTGTTCATTGGCTGTGCGACCTCAGGCACCTTGGCTGACCTCTCTCAGCCTTGGTTTCCTTCTAGGCAAAATGAGGACAATCTAGCTCACAGAGCTGTAGTGAGGAGGAAACCAAGGGAGACGTGCATGATACTGTCTTTGTATCAGTTCCACAAAGAACCATTACAAAGAAGCACCCCTCTTCCTGCTTCCCGCAGAGCCTGCCTGGGTAGAATTTCTCTGCTCTCAGGATCACACAAACAGGAAGAGCAACACAAAAACAGAACTAGGGCTCACCAGAGGACTGAGTGCTGGTCGCTCTTGTGCAGATTGTCAGTTATGCCAAAAGCCTTGAAGAAGGCACATTGCTGCTGGCACTGAGGCTCACTAGGTTAATGCTCTGCCTAAGGCCCTGGCACCCCAGGTTCTAGTCCTGTTTGGGGGTTGGGGTGCCAGTTCTGTCCTGGTTGATCCTCTTCCAGAGGATTGTTTTTTGGTAAGAAAACCACGTTTCAATTTGAATCTCGACATTAAAATGTTTACAAAAACCACCAGTTAGATAAACTAAATGTGTAAGTCAATTAAATAGAAAAAAAGATATTCGCAGCTGTTTTCTCCATGTTGTTTGTGCTGTCTCTGGCAGGCGCGCCAAAAGTCACACAGCTGAGGTCAGAAGTAAATCACAAATAATGAGACCGGCACGGTGGCCACGGTCAGCCCCACTGCTGCTTCTCGGAATATGCTTAGCGACATCAAGGATGATTGACACCCATGCCCTCAGCAGGTGGGCGAGTGCTGCCCTGGGCGCAGGCACAGGGAGCTCAGGAGCAGAGGCAGCACACTCGCCACGCCCACTCTGTGCAGGGACGCTAGGCCGCCGGTGCTGCTGCCGCTGACCCTGTATACACACCCCGCACACACAGCCGACTCGGGCCTTGTTTCTGGCTGTAACCGGCTGCTGCCCTGATGACATTTCCGGGGGTCGGGGCAGTAGGCCCACGCTTCCGTGGCCCCTTCCATAGACCCAGTGATGGGAAAGCAGGCCGCAGGTGCCCTGGCCTGCACCTGCTGTGAGTGGTTCTGGGCTGAGTCGGGCCAGGCAGCCTCTGGCCGAGGGCCTGGGCTGTTAACTCACCGACAACACAACAGAGGGCCGTCATCAGATTTATTGGATGAACAAGGCAGGTGGGAATTTTCTCGGGCCGTGCGCATCCGCTGACTCGGGCAGAGAGGAAGCCGTGCAGAGACAAGGGAGCGAGCATTCCTGACAGCCATCATTAGACACATTCTTCCCTGGAGCTCCTGGGACAGGCAGGGTCAGACTCTGCTGAGTGAGGAGCCGCGGCCGGGCCTGCAGCCTCGCGGTCAGGTGGTTAACGCCCCTCCCCGAGCCCACCCTGCCCAGTGACTGCTGCACAGACCACTTCCGTGTGCTCGTCATGTCCTTTCCCAGCTGCTCAGCTAAGGACTCAGGTCTGGGTGTCGCTTCGCATGGGAATCCGCAGGTGTGGCTCAGGCCCCTCTCCCCTGAAGCAGCTCTGTGACACCCTGGTGACAGTCACGCCCCAGTGCCAGAGAAATGCAGAGGCGCACACTTGTCAGGCTGCCGGTGCAGCCTGCCGGCACAGCCGCCCGAGGCCGGCTCGCTGTCCTACCAGTCGAGGAAGAGCAGGGAGAAGGAGCACATCACGAGGAAGAAGAGGATCCACACGCGGAAGCCGGCGTTGTTCTTGATGGCCTCTCTAACGTCTTCGATGCCCTCCTTGATGTTTTCAGTCGCTCCAACCACCAATTGGTGAATGTTGTCAACCTCCGCTTCCTGTTGCAACACCTTTTCCGTGAATATCTCTTGGAGTCTGGAAATTTCAACCACTTTCCCTTCGATTTGCCTCACTTCATCAAACAAGCTGTTCATCTCCCCAATGGGCCGCTGATTTTCTTGTTCAAACATTTGCATTTCTTCTGGGGATAACTCGTCTTCTCCTTTGCCGTCTCCCCAGGCACTCAAGTCAGGCTGCGCTTCAGACAGTCTTTTCTGGGAACTCTTCAGAGGCAGGTTTCTCTTCAGAGTCTTTTGAAGGATTCTGTGACGCTTTCTCAGAAGCGATGGATTCTCTTGTTTTTGCGTTTGGTTCTGGTTCCAGCTTAGATAATCTCTTCTTATCCACCACTCGTTTAACTCGGATGGCTCTCTGTTCTGAGTCAAGTTCACACACTCTTTTTAAGTAATCCTCGATGAAATCCAGAATGGCAGTGCTGTGCTCCTTCACCTGCTGGGAGTGGACCTCCCTGTGCGCATCTGTCCTGAGCTGCTGAATTGCTTCCGAGCAGGTCCTCATGAAGATCTGCGCATCCTGGTCTATCTGGTCTCCTCTGTGTCTGTCATCCTGCCACAGTCAGACAGAACGTGGCTGTAAGCATTAATATAATCTTTCCTATGCTCCAGGAGAAAATCTCTCAGTTTGCTGTGGCCTGGGCAGGCAGTGGAGGATAGCCTTGCACCTGCATGGGAGACCAGGAGGAAGCCTGGCTCCTGGCTTCGGATTGGCGCAGCTCCGGCTGTAGCAGCCATCTGGGGGGGTGAACCAATGAAAGGAAAACCTTTCTCTCTGTCTCTCTCTGTCACTGTCTAACCTGTGAATCTGAAGGGTCAGCTACTGATTTTTATATAAATACTATTCATGGACACTAAGGATGCTTGAACAGCATTTACCTCCAACAAAATACTTTGAATAACACTTAAGCAGGAAAAACAATTCTCTGCTGTGCTAAAGAAGAAATCTTTATACCGATGATCAGAGAGAAAAGTGAGCCCCTAGCTCAACTATTTTAGTATTAGGTTACCACGTGTGTGTGTGTGTGTGTGTGTGTGTGTGCTGAGATTTGAAGAAGCTTCATGTATCTACGTATACACATGCACACACACACACACACAAATCTGTAAAGCTCCTTCAAATCTGAGCTATCTATTTATGGTATACATAAAATTGATTTGCATCTCTAAATAAGTACAGTTAATATTAACATTTCAAAAAATATAAATAATTCAAGTTTTAATTCTTGCATATTTCATATAAAATTATCTTACATTGTAAAGATGACATATCACAAATTTAAAATTGCTCATCAACTATTCCAGTTTAATATTTTTCCTCAAAATCATCATGACAGCTTATTTTCCACAACAGGATCTATTCAGAACCAGTTGTAGGTGGTTGTTATGTACCCTGACTTTTTAATTTTCAACAGTCCTTTTGTTAATAATATTCTGATTTATTGATGAGTAGACATATATCCCTATTCCCTATTTTGGTGATGATTCAATCATTTCAATTCCCTCTAATTATTTTAAATGGAGAACTCAAAAGTATAGAACTATTAGACTCAAATTAAACTTTCCCAGCAAAAATTGCATTATACATGGTATTTAATGGTTAAGTTTGCATAAAATGTTGCATAGAACTTAGTCACCTGTCTCCTGATATGAGTGGTGTTGAGACTGTCCAGCAGATTAAAATTGTGAAAATTTGCTTCCTTTTTATGTATTATTTTTCTTCTAGTTGCAAAACCATACCTTATCATTACACAGATATTCAATTACTCTTCAGATAATTGCCATTATCTGTTGATCACTGGTATTTCTTTTTTTACTTTGTATTTATTTATTTTTTGACAGGCAGAGTGGACAGTGAGAGAGAGACAGAGATAGAGAGAAAGGTCTTCCTTTTTTCCGTTGGTTCACCCCCCAATGGCTGCTGCGGCCAGGCATTGCAGCTGGAGCACAGCGCTAATCCGAAGCCAGGAGCCAGGTGCTTCTCCTGGTCTCCCATATGGGTGCAGGGCCCAAGGACCTGGGCCATCCTCCACTGCACTCCCAGGCCACAGCAGAGAGCTGGACAGGAAGAGGAGAGACTGGGACAGAATCCTGCACCTCGACCAGGACTAGAACCTGGTGTGCTGGCACTGCAGGCAGAGGATTAGCCTATTGAGCCATGGTGCCAGCCAATCACTGGTATTTCTAATAACTAATGGCTACATTAGCAGTTGACAAATAGTGTTTCTTTGGAAATTTATAATTTCGGGCCAGAACTCATGACTAGAGACTAGGGAGATTACTGACACCATAAACAAGAGTGTCAAATTGTTAAGTCAACAACAGGAGTCACTGTGTACTTACTTCTCATGTGGGATCTGTCCTTAGTATGTTGTCCAATGTGAAGTAATGCTATAACTAGTACTGAAACAGTATTTTACACTTTGTGTTTCTGTGTGGATGCAAACTGATGAAATCTTTACTTAATATGTACTGAATCGATCTTCTGTATATAAAGATAATTGAAAATAAATCTTGATGTGAATGGAATGGGAGAGGCAGCGGGAGATGGGAGGGGTGTGAGTGGGAGGGAAATTATGGGGAGGGAATCCATTGTAATCCATTAACTGTACTTTGGAAATTTATATTTACTAAATAAAAAATAAATTAAAAAAATTTGGGGCCAGCACTGTGGCATAGCAAGTAAAGCTGTCGCCTGCAGTGTCGGCATCCCATATGGGTGCTGGTTCAAATCCTGGCTGCTCCACTTCAGATCCAATTCTCTGCTATGGCCTGGGAAATCAGTAGAAGTAGGCCCCAGTGCTTGGGCCTCTGCACCCATGTGGGAGACCCAGAAGAAGCTCCTGACCCCTGGCTTTGGAGCCATGCAGCTCCTGCCATTGTGGCCATCCAGGGAGAGAACCAGCAGATGGACAACATATCTCTCTCTTTCTATGCCTCTGCTTCTCTGTAACTCTGCCTTTCAAATAAAAAAAGTCTTTAAAAAAAGAAAATCTGCAATTTAATCTAAAGTTATTATTTTTTTAAAGATTTTCTTACTTGAAAGAGAGAGGAAAAAAAAGAGAGGAGAGGAGAGGGGTGGGGAGAGGAGGGAAAAAGAGAGGAGGGGAGGGGAGGGGAAGAGAGGGAAGAGGATAGGAGGGGAGGGGAGGGGAGGGGAGACAAGAGGCTGGTCATTCATCTGCTGATTAACACCCCAAATGGCCATAACACCCAGGGCTGGGCAAGGCTGAAGCTAGGATCCATCCAAGTCTCCCATATAAGTGTCAGGGTCCCAAGCACTGGTGCTGTCATGCTACTGCCTTGCAGATGTGTTAAGAAGGAGCTCAACAGGAAGCAGAGTGGCTGAGACATACCCACTCTCAGATTGGGGCTGTGTGTGTCTCAAGCTGCAGAGTGTCTGTTCCTAGAGCTATTAGATATTAGTTATTCCTATTTGTGGGGAGCAACTGGGAGCAACTCGGACTAGACTAAGTTACTGGAATTAAGACTTATTCTATGCATCTGCTCTCCCACAATATGGCGCTGAGAAGGGAGTAACAGCTTCTACACAGCTGCCTCCAGTTCAACCAATAAACAGCAGGACCTGCTCCTGATTGGAGGAGAGCAGCGTACTCGGCGTGTGGGTAGCAGAGTTGGGATTGGTGGAAGAGGACTATAAAGGAGGAGAGAGACAACATGCACCAGGAACATCTATCTGAAGGAACACCTGAGCAGCCCCGAGAGAGCCGCCCGGCGGTGTGCCGCTCCCCTGCGGAAGTGGGGAAAGTGGCAGGGGGCCCACCCCTCCACGGAGGTGGAGGGACGGTAGCCAACCCGGGAAGAACCAGCAGCAAACCCGGGGAGGGCCGAGCAGACAAAAGAACAGCGCAGGGTCCTGTGTCATTCCTCCAAGAAGAGGGGGAGCGACATAATGGGGCCGTGACTCGGATATGAAGCCTAGGTAGGGTTTAGTGTCATTCCTCCACGAAGAGGGGGGGCGACACCTATTAGTTATTAGCTTTTATTTCTAAATTGGAGCTTTCTGTGACAGCACAGTTATTCATTTATACAGAAGATAGCTTTCTCATCGTAAAGGAATAATATTCATTTCTTTGACTTTCTCAAAAATCTTAATTTAATATCATATTTTGAAAACATCATTCTCTATGCTTTTAATTTTTAATGGGAAATTTAGTTTGCTCTAAAATTTTGTGGCTAATTCAGTGATCAAACATGCCATTAGTGCTATCTGGAAATAAAAATATGAATTGCATATTTGATTATTTTCACATGGTTATTTCAACTGTCATCAATATCTAAAAACATTCTTGTTGTAGCCTGCACCATGTCTAACATTATCTTATGAACTGATGAAATAAATTTATCTGAAGTCACTGTTATTACCTAGATTTTTTTTTCTGCAAACTTTAATGGCAGATTTGTTGTGTATTCCTTAGTCACACCCTAATCCTGATATTCTATTATTTCTCACTTTCCCAGAGCAATACAATGTTTATCCTTCCACAGTGGCCACAGGATAGTCTTTAGGAAGCTTCAGCTCTCTAATTTTCCTAAATGACTACATAATCCTTAAAATGCAGTAAGGTCATAGGAATCCAGATTCCTATAAATTCTGTGAATTTTCAGATGTAAATGATTATCAAGCCAGATGAGTATTTCTATTTTCTAAACTTTTGTGTATGAACTGAATTTTTACATTTTTTGAAATAGCTGTTCTGGATTTTTTGGATTTCTTGGATTTTTATTTTATATCGATGTTGGACAGTATGAAAAATAAATGAGGAATCTCAAAAACTCCTTCATAGCCTAAACATTTGATAATATTTTTCTTTCATCGTAGGCAGTTTCTTATACCAGCACACAATAGAATATTGGTTATACAGCACTGTTATAGACAAATGCTTAATTATTATGTCCAGAACTTTCTTCCAAGCCAATACAATCCATTTTTCAAGTTTTGATGTTGATATTACATCAGTATATCTTATTTCACTGGATTCTTATTGTGATTTATTTCCCTCAAGGTAGTTAGTTGTTCTTAGAGGGTTTTTTTTAGATTTATTTATTTATTTAAAGGCAGAGTTGCAGCAGAGAGGCAGAAGCGAGAGGGAAAGGAAGAGGGAGTGGGAGAGAGAGAGGGAGAGAGAGAGAGGTCTTCCATCTGCTGGTTTATTCCCCAAATGGCCACAATGGCCAGAGCTGGGCTGATCCAAAGCCAGGAGCTAGGAGCTTATTCTGGGTCTCCCATGTGAGTGCAGGGGCCCAAGGACTTGGGCCATTTTCTATTGCTTTCCCAGGCCATAGCACAGAGCTGGATTGGAAAGGAACAGCTGTGACCCAAACTGGTGCCAATATAGGATCCGGGCACTGCAAGTGGTGGCTTTATCTGCCATGTCACAATGTCAGCCCCGATTCCTAGAATTTAAGCTATTTCCATAAAAAGTACCTGGGAGATTCAAAGAAACTGATAACCTAAGCAATATGCAAATTGTTTTGGGTTCTGTCTCTCTCTCTCTCTCCTTCTCCCCTATGCTTCCCCCGCTCTTTCTTTGTTCCTCTTATATTATTAGAAATCTGACAATTTCCTCTGCTTAATTCTTTCCCATTTCTAGTGTTCCAAAATCCTTCTGGCTATTGCAGGATAATAAAATAGCATATCTCCCCTACTTGGCAGTGGCTTCTTACATCCCATTAAGCCATTGTTTCTTGCTTTCAAAAAAATTTTTGCAATTGCAGTCATTCCTTCTTCAATGAATATTTGATGCACAAATGTTCTATTTTTGCCCTGGATTCTACTTCTGTACCTCTGCACACACAATAACATTTTGTGTTCCAAAGCTAAAACATACCTGAACATTATAAAAGACATCTTGACTAGTAATCAAACTTGACCTGTAGAATTCTGACAATGCATATGATTCAATTGAGGTAATTACAGTATGAATAGTTCAGATGAAAGTCTTATAAGGCACAAAAGGACAGCTCTGCCATAACTATCTATAGTTTTATAGTGATAATAAAGCACAAAAAATTATCAGACTCATTCCACTATGAGAAACAGTAAAATGTGCTTCCTCGCAGGAAGCTAAGTTCCAGGAAAATCCCCTAGACATGATCGAGAACATCGTGTGCTAGGTACTTTTCCTCCTATTTCCAAGTATAGCCCTGCAACAATTCTTAATTCTGAAAAGCTCATGTTTTTCTGTGCTATCTCATTTGTGGATTTTGACAGCAAATTTTGTAGGTTTTTTTTTTTTATTTAGTGAGACTTCTGAATAAAAATGTTGTTTGACAATCACCTTCTACTCAATTTCTTAGCATGATGGTTTTAAGAATGCCTCAAGAGTAAAAAAAAAAAAAAAGCCCTGATGTTCTCATTTTTCTGCAATTCTTTTCTCCATAGAATGTTAATATCCAAAGTTATGACTGTTTTAGGGGCTGGCACTGTGGCACAGTGGGTTAACACCCTGCCCTGAAGCACTGGCATCCCATATGGGTGACAGTTCTAGTCACAGCTGCTCCTCTTCTGGCCCAACTCTCTGCTATGGTCTGGGAAAGCAGTAGAAGATGGCCCAAGTCCTTGGGCCCCTGCACCCACATGGGAGACCAGGAAGAAGCTCCTGGCTCCTGGCTTTGGATCGGTGCAGCTCCGGCTGTTGCGGCCACTTGGGGAGTGAACCATTGGATGGAAGACCTCTCTCTCTCTCTCTCTCTCTCTCTCTCTCTCTCTGACTCTCCTCTCTCTGTGTAACTCTGACTTTCAAATAAATAAATTAATCTTTAAAAAAAAAACAAAGTTATGACTGTTTTAGAATCTTTTCAGTACTCCTAAAAATCATGTTTATTGTATTGTATGCATACTATACGATTGGTCTTACAAAAATATTTATATGATTTAAGTTTCTGTATTTTTAAAAGAAATGAATATTTGGGGTAGTGTTTTATCTAGTCATCCTTCTGATCTTTTTTAAAGAGTAAATAATGTATGATTACTTAACAATTCTTTTTTTAAAGATTTATTTATTTATTTGAAAGTCAGAGTTACACAGAAAGAGAAGAAGAGGCAGAGAGAGAGGTCTTCCATCCACCGGTTCATTCCCGAGATAATTGCAATGGCCAGAGCTGCGCCATTCTGAAGCCAGGAGCCAGGAGCTTCTTCCAGATCTCCCTGTGGATGCAGGGTCTCAAGCACTTGAGCCATCTTCTGCTGCTTTCTCAGGCCATAGCAGAGAGCTGGATTGGAAGTGGAGCAGCCGGGACTTGAACCGGTGCCCATGTGGGATGCTGGCACTACAGGCAGCAGCTTCACCCTCTACTTCACAGCGCCAGCCCCACTAATGTGCAGTTCTTTCCAGTTCTAAAACTATTTTTGCATCATTAAACTGAGAATTTTTTAAAAAAATAGTTGACATTGTTAAATACCAATGTGCTTTTGCTACAGTGGAACCTGGGCAGGCTTTGGTGGAGCAGCTATGCAGCCAGTTGGGATGCCCACATTCTATATCAGTGTCTGTGTTTGAAACCCAGTTCTGCTGCTGATTCCAGCTCCCTGCTAATGTGCACCCAGGAAGGCAGCCAATGATGCCTCGAGCAGTTGGAGCCCTGCCATCCCTTTGAGAGATGAATTGATTTCCCAGATGCTAATTGCAGGCATTTGGAAACTGAACTAGTAGATGGGAGATCTCCCTCCCCGCTCCCCCTTTCAAATAAAATAAAATAAAATTATTAAAGATTTTTCAGCTAGAATCAATTTGCTCTTGACTCTAAACCATTCAATTAAATAATTTATTGCTTTTAGGTTTTTTTAAAAAATTTATTTTAATAGGAAAGAAAATGAGCTCCCCCATCCACTGGTTTACTCCTCAAATGACCACAACTGCCAGAAATGTGCCAGGTTAATGAATTAGGAACTCAACCTTTTCCTTTTTTAAGATCTTATTTATTTGAGAGGTGGAATTGCAGACAGAGAGAGGGAGAGACAGAGAAATAGGTCTCCCATTCACTGTTTCACTGCACAAATGGCCAAAACGGCTGGAGCTGAGTTGATCTTAAGCCAGGAGCTTGTTCCAGGCTCCCATGCAGGTGGAGCGGCCCAACCACTGGGGGTCATCGTCTGCCTTCCCAGGCCATAGCAGAGAGCTGGATCAGAAGAGGAGCAGCTGGGACCAGAACCAATGCCCATATGGGATGCTGACGCTGCAGATGGAGGCTTAGCCCTCTATGCCACAGTGTTGGCCCCTAGGAACTCAATGGTAAATGAAACTCTTTAATTAGAAGGAAAATAATACCACATAGAAATCTGGGCATCCAAAAAAATGTACAAAGACCATTAAAAATACTGAGTATAGATGGACATTTTTAGGGAATTAAATTAATTTTAAAGATAAGTTGTTTAAGCAAAAATAGAAATATTTTATAGAAGATAAAAAATATATAGAATTTTAAAAACTAACCACTATTATGAAAGCCAGGAAAAGAGAAACAAAAATATAATATTGTAGTATATGAAGTTTAATATAGCATGATGTTAAAACATTGTAAATTATTATTATTATTATTTTTGGCAGGGCCCCAGCCCTATGGTGTCTTTATTTTGACACCACTTTGTTTCAATACAAACAGTCCAGAAAGAGTCCCGTCGCTCTGGTCGAGCATGGAGGGAGTGGTCTGTGTTGCTTGGAGCCCAACCTGCAGCCCGGCGGTGGCGGAGGGGCCCAGACTGCCAGCATGGCAGGGGAGGATGGCACCAAAGATGACACAGTGCATGGCCCGGCTGCCAGAGAGAGGCCTGCACGCAGCCTCTCGAGCTCTCAGGGGCAGGCCAGGCCAGGTCCCTCTGAGCCTGCTTCTCTCCCTCATGTCTTCTGCTTCCTTGGCCCGCGTGAGGCTCACAGCATCCAGAGTCAGGACACAGGCCAGATGGGACCCACTGTGGCCACAGGCCAGGAGAAGGGCCAAACATCTCAGGAAACGGGGGGCCCATGGCCCACAGCAGATGGTGTGCCAGGCCTCAGAGAGGCCCAGAAAGTTCTCCAAGCAATTACAGTCACAGGGGAGGAGGGGGAAGGGGACATGGGATCACTCAGGCCTGGTCCCAAATGAAACCTTTAGGCACCAGGTGAAGGTTCTAGCCCTTAGTAAGGCCCAGACCAAGTCCTTCCTCTCCCCTGCCCTCTCATACCCAGAAGAGGTACCAGCAGCAGCAGCAGAGGCAGCAGCAAGCCCAGAACCCCCTCCCCGGGGGGCTTTCAGCAGCTCCCCTCTGGCTGGGCCTCTCCCTGGTGCCCGAGCCCTCAGACCACCTAGAAGGATCCTGGAACCAGCAGAAGGTGTACACTTTTCCCTTTCCCTGCGTGGGGAAAGGCTGGGCCTCCCACCCCAAGTGAAATCCCTCCAGTGTGCAGGACAAGTGAGCAGCAGCTCTGGGGGCAGGACTGGAAGGACACTGCACAGAGGAGAGGCTGAGGGCACACAGGGGAGGGGCTCAATCCACAGGAGTCCCCCCCCAGGGTCCTCCAGGGCCGCCCACTGCACAGCACACACTTAGGTAACCAAGCCACCCAGCTTCCACAGGAGGCACCCATGCCCTGAGAACCATGGGTTTCTTTCTGCTGTCCCCAGCGATGCCTGAGCCAGGGGCTATCAGTAGGAACCGTAGTGATCCTTCAAAGAATTCATCACACCATTGGCCAGCACAGCCATCTTGCCAGCCACAGACTTGACACCCTGCTTAAACTGGGCGATGTCCGCCGAGGGGAGCACATTGCCCAGAGACATGCTTCCTGCTGCATGGGCTCCATGCACGTCCCCAAAGAGGTCTGAAGAGCTGATGGCACTGCTGCCCGTGAGCTGCTGCAGCCGAGACCTGGCTTCATACTCAACGTCCACCTCCCGCCCAAAGAACATGTCGGATGAGATGGCTTTTGCACCTGCAAACTTCTGGCCTGCTTCGCTGGACTCGAGGCCCGAACTCCGGCTCTCCACGTCCCTCCGGTTTGTGGCTCTTTCCGAAATGGGCCGGATGCTCGAGATGGTCACTTCTGCCTCCTTCTCCTCTACCCTGTCCATGCCCCAGGTGGTATCCGTATCCCAGCGGGAACCAAAACTTTCCCCCAAGGAAAAGGGGTTGTCCTTGTACTTTGGAGGTCCAGAGGTGAACGTCCAAACGTCGTCAAACAGGTCCAGTTGCGAGCGGGAGGACTTGGCGGTCACTGGGATCTCCTGCTCGATCACCTGCATCTCGGACAGCACCGAGCGGGACACGGAGCTCCGGCTCACCAAGCCCATGCCCAGCCGCTCCGCCTGCTCTCCCTTCTTCCCCTCCAGATTCTGGAGCTGCTTCTCCTCCTCCTTCCGATCAAGCTGGAGCTCCTGGTAGGCCAGACGCATGGAGGCGACCATGGACTCCTCGGCCTGCTTCTTAGCATGCGCCGCCTGCTGCTCACGGAGCTCCTCTGCCACCTGGGCCTGCCGCTCCATCTCGCTGAAGCTCCGGCCGCTCACCTTCTGGGCGCCCAGGCCTTTCTTAGCTGCTACCGGCTTCTTGCCAATGATGGAGCTTTTCAGTTCCAGAGGTGCCTTGGGCGAGGTGCCAAGCAGGTCGGTGTTGGGGCCGTGCTCCGGCTGGGCCAGGCCACTGCTCTCTGCGGACGGGGCTGGCTGCTGGATCCCTGCAGGCTCAGCGGCTGGCACATCCCAGGCAGGGGCTGAGTGTGCTCCGTGAAGAAATGAGTCCTTCTTCTCTGGGGAGTGGCTAGGAGCACTGCTCAAGCTGTCTATCCGGAGGTCAGTGTCACGCCGGGCCAGGGCCGCGCTCCCCAGCTGCTGGATCTTCTCCCGGTACATCTGGGCTGCTCGGCTGTTGCACTT